CCACTCCTCAAAATCATTCATTAGTGCTCTGTGCTGTTACAATTAGTAATACTTCAAATACTTCAAACCACTGTAGAATTGTCAGAGTAAAGGTGTAGGTGAGTTGGGTGGCATATAATCCAGATCCTGAGGTTTACAAAGTGGGCGAGAAAACTCGATAGTTGTTAAGCTCTGATGGTGTTAAATTGTTTGGTGCAGGAACTGGACGAGATGATTTCCATAACATTGGAATCTTGTCCTGCTTCAGATTCATGTTGTAAATGTGACTCAGGATCACAGACAGCTGGATAGCACAGGTCCTCCGTGGCTTTGCTTTTATGTAGTTTCTCCAGAAGTTTCCTAATCTGTTCAGAAGTCACAGCCAAGCAATGGGTGTTTCCAACTACACCCGTAGGTCCTCAGTTCCTCCATTTCTGCAAATCTGAAGGCTTACGTCTTTGTATTAAGTCGTTTTTTCAGGTCACAGTGATCCAGAGCCTGTTCTTCTGAGTGTAGTATACAGTCCTGGCTAGTAAGATCTATTCTATGATGCTGCCAGTCAAACGTCCTCTCAATGTTCACTAAATACACTGCAGTCTCTGAGGCCATGCTGTTGGCCAGCATACACAGCACAGCACCATGGTAACAGATATCATCTGCTATGTGTCTCACAGAATAACCACTTTTCACACATCCTTTATTATTTTATCATCCACTATATGAACAGTATAGTAATACTAGCATCAGAGTCTCAGTGTGTTTCATGCATTTACATAAATAAGCATTTACATAACATAAGAGAACACATTAAAAGAAGAAGTGGTTGTAGCTCTGCTCTGGGTGTTGTGTGTAATCTCACCGAGTCCTGACTGGTTTGAGGAGCAGACCGAGTCTCTGCAGGGTTTAAACTCAGGCCCTGAAAAACAGACATAATCTGGTTACATCAGGTGGTAAACTGTGTCTGTGAAGGCAGTTTAGTTCTTGTTAACACCCCTCAGAGATGATCGGATTTGTTGTTCATTTAATGTCAGTTGAAGAAACATTTAATTTTTTATAGGAAAACTCACAGCATCTTCATCCATCTGTGTTTTGTTTCCTGTAAAGACACAAAAAGTCAACTCTAACATTCACTTCAAAACTTATAGAAGTTTTATTTGTAAATGTTCTCACCTCTAGTTCTCTTCCATCTGATGAAAAACACAACAACTATCAAGAGTGAGACTAAGCCCACAGCTGGAATGATGAACCACTGGATCGCTGGCAAAAGGAGAAAAACAAAAAGTCTCTAAAGCATTTTCTAGTTTAAAACATGGAAAATATGGCTAAAGTGGCTGCTGTGTTTAAAAAGACAGCTGGTATAATGTTAGAGACATTCACTTTCATTCACATTATGTGAACCAAAGTCAGTGTATTTCTATCCACAAAAAAAAAAAAAGAAAATCCCATGAACAGAAATATTTGAGTTCAGACGTGTGATTTTTCTCTCAGACAATGATTAAATGAATAAATATATCTCCACCCACAGCTATGATACTCAGAGACAAATATTTATGTTTAATACAAAAGTGAAAACATCTTAAATCTCAAAAGTTTCCATCTTATGTTTCCTGTAGGATACATGTCTGACTGTCACTCAGCTAAATGTACATAAATGTAATGAAATGACTGGAATACAAATAAAAAAACCAAAATAGAAACATAAAGAGTAAAATATATTTTACAAGTAAAATATATTTTACTTTTTAACTTTTATTTGATATTTTTAACTTTTCATTTGCAGACACATGGTTGAGTTACCATGTGTTGAATCTCCTGATGATTTGTTGTTTGGTGTCGTGTTTTCATTGTCCACAGTTTTTGCTGTTGTATCATCTGAAATTACAAATTAAAAAAAAAGAGAGAGAATGTATTTTTCATGTGCTGTAAATCATATTAAAAGGCCACTTTGAACTGAAAAATAAATAAATATTTTTGGTCAACTTAGTTTTAGTAACATCACCTGATTTTAGAAGCATCTTAATTGTTGTGGTTGTTTCAGTTTTTCTGGCTGGTTTCTTTGTTGTTTTTGTGTCACCTGAATAAATGAAACAACACAACATTAAACTTTTCCATGTTTTTTATCTGTTGTAAATTCAAGCTTTAGCTGATTTTAGTCGTATTAAA